AGCACACTGCCTCTACCCGAAGCACTTGCTCAGTACAGCGGCAGCAGCAGCACCCACTCCAAGAGCTAGATGCAGCAGGCTCTCTCTTCTTCCACCCCAGCTCAGCAAGACCAGGTGAGGAGAGGGTGGGAAGGAACTCTCCCAAATCAGTCTCCATCCTGATGAGCAAGTTGGGAGGTATCATATGAAACTTTGGGGGAGGGTAGGTGCCAAACCCAGGGCTCCAATGGTCTAAGGCTGAGTTGAACCAGGGTTAAATCCCTATTACTCTTTACAGTGCACACATGCCCAACTAGAAGTGTTCCACCATCTCACAGGATTTATTTGTCCCCTGGAGAGTCAAATTTACTGGGCAATCATGTTTTCCCACATTGTACCACAAGCAGAGGGCTAGGAGTTGACACATTTTAAGGTACCGTTAGGATGTCTGGACCAGGTGATTGGACTTGGGCTCACATAATGCAGTGTAGATTCCGAAGCCCCAGGCTGAGACCCAGTGTTCGTTAATTCCTGAACTGGGATTATAAGTAAGCATAGATGCTAAAGCCCTAAATTAACAAATCCAGAGTCTGCTAACTCAAAGTTGTACTAAAATTGGGCTTACATTGCACTGCAGAGGCACACTCAAAGTGCATAAATCTGAAGACGCAGGTTCAGAATACATTTGGCTGCCCACTGTGGGGCTCCCAAAACAGCCAGCCAGCCGCCTCCTTAGGCCCACCAGAGCAGAGGTGCCCAAACCACTGGGCTGTGTCTAGACTGGCAAGTTTCTCCGCAAAATCATCTGCTTTTGCGGAAAAACTTGCCAGCTGTCTACCCTGGCCGCTTGAATTTCTGCAAAAGTACTGACAATGTCATGTAAGATTGTCAGTGCTTTTGCGGAAATACTATGCTGCTCCCGTTCGGGCAAAAGTCTTTTTCCGAAAAACTTTTGCACAAAAGGGTCAGTGTAGACAGCACAGATTTGTTTTCTGCAAAAAAGCCCCGATCGCGAAAATGGCGATTGGGGCTTTTTTGCAGAAAAGCACGTCTAGATTGGCCATGGATGCTTTTCTGCAAAAAGTGCTTTTGCGGAAAAGCGTCCTGCCAATCTAGACACGCTTTTCCAAAAATGCTTTTAACGGAAAACTTTTCCGTTAAAAGCGTTTCCGGAAAATCATGCCAGTGTAGACGTAGCCCTGGAGCGGAGTCCCCGGGTGGTTTCAGCCCTATTAGGGTTGGAAGAACAGCAGCTGTCTGCCCCACCACAGAAGCGGTGGGGCTGGAGCTGCTGCAAGTGCCAGCAGCTCTGAACGTCCCCCATCCTGTCCCCAAGTTTATTTTTAATAAAAGTAAGGGACAGGTCAGAGGCTTCCATGAACTGCTCTTTATTGCCCATGACCTGTCCAGGACTTTTAATAAAAATACCTTGTCAGATGTTACACTAAGGTGTCAAAGTAATCATCTATAATCTTGTCAGAAAAAAACTGCTTCAAGTCAGAAATGCTCTTTTATGACTTCCCAGGGTTGGATAAAAAATGGTTCCCATACCTAGCTACTTATCCACTTGCTCTGCTAAAATAGTTAGACTACAGCTGGTTATTTTTAAAGTAGCTATAAACAAAATGCAGCACTGTTAGCATCAACACTAGCTCAAAATAAGAACAAGTTAGTGTCTCACAAGTACTTATTTCCATTGATACCAAAACTACATGCTCCAGATTCACCCTGGAACTTTCAGTTACCTAGGAACAGATAGATTATAGGCAAAAGTCACAGAGCTTGGCATTTGGTTGCTGTACCACAAAGGGCAAAAGCATTAAGAGATTATAAAAGAGCTAAAAGACAGTTATCATACAGGGTGGTTTTTTTTAAACAACTGGACGTGGATGGACTGTTATCAGGTAGGAATCTGGTGCTCATTTTTACTGCCACCTATCAGTAGTTGCACAAAACAGCTACACAGCTGCGTTTTCAGGCAATGAACCCACATGCAAAGTAAGTAAGATGCACCCCGGCAGTTCGCAACTTCTGTGTTTCTAAAGCTACTGTCCAGTCACAAAAACCCTCAGAGCGAACAACAGGAGAACTGCAGATCAAATATGCGCGAACGGCTCGGGCTGGGGCAAGCCTCACGCTACAGGAGTTTACACTGTTCGGGCTCCGCCCCGTTATGTTGCATCAGCCAGTTTCTTCCGCCTTAGCCCGGAGCGTTCTCCCCGCACAGTAAGGGGCCGGCCTCGGGCAGCCCGGAGCGTTCCCCCCCCCCCGCACAGTAAGGGGCCGGCCCCG